GTCTTTTTGTACCAAAAAAAATCAACCCTCTTAAATAGTTTTTAACAATTGTCATTTTTGGGTTTTCTTTTTTTGCAATTCATTTTGTTTTTAATTTCCCGAATTGTCATTCCATTTTTGTACTAAAATTTGGTTTTCTTCTTTTTTCTGCATTTTTCTTTTGGCAAATTAAACAGTTTTTTGTCCCTTATTCCATTCTCTTACAAATTAACTATATAATATGGTAATTATACCACATTTTTTTAATAAATGGGAAGAGAGTGACTTGAATAATAAAAATGCCGACTACTTGAACTAAATTCATCAAATAACTTATCAAACTGTCAGATTTTAATCGATTCAATTTTTTTGGAATAAGATGGCATAAAACACGAAAAAAACTTGAAAAAACATAAAGACAATGAATTACTCTGTGATGTTAATCACCATCTTCGCATTGTTGTATGTATTGAACGTCCCTACGACGTACATACTCTCTCTTATTAACCACAGAAGTAGTTTGTACACACTTCTGTCTCTCTTACTTCCATTTGTTACCCCCCTCTTCGTGTTTCTCATTGGGTCTCCAAGGCTCCCTGACAGCCAAGAGTATGTTCCATTCGTCGACGTCTGCTGGTACAGAATGTCCAACAAGAAATCGCCAATGGTCATCACGTCGTCTGTTGGTGGTTCAACCAAAGTCGATTGGCCTGTTGTTATTCCAAAGATGTACGAGTCCTTGAAACAACACGAACGAATGACGAGAAGAGTCACAAAGAGTAATGGATATTACGTATTTGAAGATTGTGAGATGGACATTGACTACCACATGAACTTCTGTGATGCCGAGCTGAGTAAAGAAGAGTACGTTAAGAAGATTAATGAACTCAAAGGATTGGACCTCGATGAAAATAGACCGTTGTGGAAGATCATTATATTCCCCAACGTAGAAAACAGTTGGCGGATGGTCGTCAAGATATCACATTGTCTTGTTGATGGCCTAACCGCCGTCAGATTGATGCAAGAAGTCGCAGAAGCGTCAAACCTCGAGTTAAACGATTACAATGAATCAAAGTACCACTTCCTTGAGATCAACAAGGAAATAGCCAAGCTGGCCGCTCTGACATTGAGCAAACAACCAAAAGGTATTTGGACTCGAGTGAAGCGCATTTCTCTCATTCCTATCTACATGTTGAGAGTGTTCTTTGCAAAGAACGACACTGTGAAGTGTTTGAGGAAGAAGTTGAGTGGAAAACAACAGTGCTTTTGGGGAAAGATGTCTTCTGTCGACTCTGTTAAGGAAGTTGCCAAGCAGTTTGGTGGAAATTTGAACACATTGCTCTTCTCGTGTATGGCAGACACGTTTAGCGAAGTTGTGAAAGAGAAGGGTGGAGATGAGACTGAAGTCAATTTCTATGTTGCTGCGAACTTACGGATGTATGAGCCGAAGATACAATTTGGAAATAAAATAGGACTTCTTTTAATGTCACTCCCACTCGATAACAAAAACTTGAAAACGCGATTCGAGACAATTAAAGGAAGACTCGAGACAGCAAAGAACTCAATGGAGGCGTATGTTTATTATGTCGTTCAGAGTGTTATTGGGATATTCCCCGATTGGATACAAGCTTTGGGAATCAAAATTGTAGAAAGAAAAGCCACACTCAATGTAACAACTGTCCCTGGATTTAAAGAACCCTTGAACTTCTTTGGTTCTAAGGTTGATGACGTCATG